TTCTAGCCCTAACCATTCTATGATTCTATGAGACTCCAGCATTATCAAGAACTGTCCTTCCCTGAAAGAACATTCAGGGAAGCAATCCTATTTTCTGGGAGAAAAAACTTGTTCAGTTGCCTTAACAAGGGACAGCTTTCTCTCCTTTGCATAATTCTGTCTCATTCACTCGTTTTCCAGTTGTACGACACAGGTGTCAGATGTTCCACAGACAGTAATTGCCTTCACCATCCAACCTTAATTTAATTCACCTCTGGGACAGGCTCCAATCCCAGATATTGTGGGAAAAACAGTATCTGTTGGGCATTACGGTCTGTATCATACTGCACATGCACAAGGCAGACAGAAAAAGGCTGTACATACACCATCACTTCTGGCACTCTGGATTTTGAGTACTGAACTTTGTCATGTTATTCTTGTATCTCTTCAGTTTTTAAGAGCAGCAAACCCAACAACTCAGGTTTCTTATTCATATCCTCATTTCCTTCCCCAGTCATTGCCTGTTTCCCCACTGTCAAACATTTTTCTCTTTTCCTTTTTTTGCATTATGTCCACAACAGTTCTTAGCAATGGATTCCTTCTCCCACTCATCCTCATGGTGATGTTCCCCATATAGACATTTTCATGAGTTCTCCAACTCATCTTCCCCATTTGTTTTCTCGTTAGTGAGCCCAGCTCACTATTAATTACAATCTTTCAATCTCTTAATGTGGGACACTTATTTTATGTGATGTAAATAACACTTTCTACAAAATCACAACAGCATGATTGAGATCTTCTGGTCCATCCACCCTGCTCAAGCAGGGCCACCTAGAGCCACTTGCCCAGGACCACGTCCAGACAGCTTTCTGAACATGTCTAAGGGTGGAGACTCCACAGCTTCCCTGGGCAACCTGTACCAGTGCTTGGTCACCCTCACAGTGGAAAAAGTGTTTCCTGATGTTCAGAGGGAATCTCCTGTGTTTCAGTGTGGGCATTGCCCCTTGTCTTTCATGGCACCATTGAACAGGGACTGGCTCTGTCTTCTTTGCACCTTCCCTTCGGGTATTTACATACATCGATGAGATCCCCCTGAGCCTTCTCTTCTCCAGGCTGCACAGTCCCAGCTCTCTCAGCCATTCCTCACAGAACAGATGCTCCTTAATCACACTCGTGGCCCTTTGCTGGACTCTCTCCAGTATGTTCATGCCTCTCTTGTACTGGGGAGCCCAGAACTTGATCCAGCACTCCAGCTGTGGCCTCACCAGTGCTGAAGAGAGGAGAAAGATCACCTCCCTCAACCTGCTGGCAACACTCCTCCTAACGCAGCCCAAGATACCATTGGCCTTCTTTGCAGCAACGGCACATTGCTGGCTCGTGTTCAACTTGGTGTCCACCAGAACCTCAGGTCCTTTTCTGCAAAGCAGCTTTACATCCAGTCAGCCCCCAGCATGTACTGGTGCCTGCAGTTTTTCCTCCCCTGGTGCAGGACTTTGGAGCTTCCCTTTGTTGAATAGCATGAAGTTCCTGTCAGCCCATTTCTGCAGCCTGTTGAGGTCTCTCTGGATGGCAGCACACCCATCTGGTGTAACCAGCCACTCTTCCCAGTTTTGTAGCATCAGCAAACTTGCTGAGGATACCCTCTGCCTCACCATCCAGACCATTAACAAAGATGCTGAACAGGACTGGACCCTGTATTGACCCCTAGGGTACATTGCTAGTTACTGGCCTTCCATCAGACTTCATATAGGTGATCACCCCTCTCCAGTCCCAGACCTTTGGTCAGGTTTTCGATCTATCTCCCTATCTGATTCCCAGACAGAGAACTGCTTACCCTACTTTTGCTGCAACTGCAAAGCTTCTAAAACAGCTGTTTAGATACAGATCCAATCAAGTTCACTTCTCAAAAACACAGATACCGAAACATGGAAAGCCAGTTCTAAGATCTTTCATACCTGGAGAAAATCTAGTAACATTTTATGTTATGGATGACTTCAAGATAGGAAAAATTAAATGTGGGTTAGGCATATGACTTTTGATTTTTAAGGCTGAAATATTATCAACACGTAAGATTTCAAAACTATACTTCTGGAAAGAATTAGTACACAAAAAATATGCAAGGCAATAAACTCTAAAGAGCTGTGTGAAAACACAATGTAAACAACATCAAACACTGTTTGGATAAAATTAATAGTCAATAGAAAAATCGCAATGGCATAGAAGTGTGCAAATACAGTAAAATCCAGTGCATGCCTCCCTATGCTCAAGCTCAGTATTAACTTGTGTAACAATGCAATTGGACAAGTCACATAAAACAAGACATTTGCTCTATTTGGGGAGAGCAAAGAGTGGAACTTGCATAACCATATTCTTCGACAGGCAATATAATCTGGTTTATTTTTAACTGGTGCACTCAGATTCAGCAATTACAAACACATAAACTCGTTTCAGGATAAATATCTGGGTAACACTGTGAGTATGGAGATAGCTACAGGATTAAAAAAAAGACCTTACCTGTTTTGAACACACCAAGGAAGCCATAACACATAGATGTGGTGTCAAAAACAGTTTTAGTCTCATGATTAAAATCGCTAGGACACTGTACGCCAACAGCTGCAATGCATGGTATACCAGCTGCAAAATAAAAACAACAAACAGCCCCAACACACAAAAGTACAATATCTGCACACTTTTCATTTGTGTCTTAAACATACAGCTTATTTTTCAGTATAGCTTAAATGACAAGTTTGTCTGAAAAAGAGTCAAAGTCATAGATTCATAGATTTCTAGGTTGGAAAAGACCTTAGAGATCATCAAGTCCAACCGTCCCTAATTCGCATTAAACCATATCCCTAAGTAGATCATCCACCCTATTCTTAAACACATCCAGGGATGGGGACTCAACCACCTCCCTGGGCAGCCTAAAGTAAAGATCTTCACATTTCAGATAGCAGTGAGGACTTTCTGTTACCTTTTTTCTAAAGTGTATGTAGCAAGAAAGTATGGAACAACAGAAATGATAAACATTAAAAATAAAACCAAAAGGAGCTGGAGAAATGGCTAGCTATGCAAAAGATCCTGACACATAAACAGGCAATAATATACATAAAATTTCTTGTATAACCTCTTTATAGAAGTGAGGAGACCTTGCTAGTTAATGCCTAACCTAAGTATGAAATGAAGGACGCAAATAAAATCATCCTTGGTACTTGCACGACCACAGGCAGCTTGCTTCAGTGTTCTCAAAAAAGCTAAAAATGCAGAGATGTCACTCACCACTCCTAACACTGAACCTGTGTTACTTGTGGAAGTGCTGCAGTAAATCATGGAGGCATTGTTGCCATCAGTGCTTTTGTCTACCTGATTGACTACCGTATGCTGAATGGCAGGAGATACCTCTCATAGCACAAACCACAAAGAAACTGCTGTTAAGAAAGTTCTGCACTGTCCTTGCCGATTTAATTGCAAATAAAGAAATCACATAAGAAAGCTGCCATTCAATTATATTTTTTTGCATCACTTTATTAAAAGAACCACGTGTAGAATTATTTTCATTATGGCGTATTTCAAATGAGAATTTTAACATTATCTGTCATGTGAAGGCCCAGTAAAGGAACCAATCTCCTTCCCAGTCTACATAAGGAAAATGGAAGGTCCAGCATCATTTCAGTGTCTTTCTGCACTGCTACAGCAAAAGCCCAAGGACTCCTCTCTCGCACTGCCACCCCACTATTACCTAGTATATTTTTTTGTTCAACATTCTAGAGTTATTCTGGTGATGTACCAGACCCAATTTAAGATGAGGGAAAAAAAGATGCAAACACTTACCTTCAAATACACTACGTATCAGGATCAGACCACTACAATCTGCGTTTCAATATTAAGTATTCACATAAACGCACAAAATTGTGCAGAAAGAGTCTTACCTCACCATGGTTAAAACGCTCCTCTCTGAATAAAAAACAAAATCATGTTATTTGTTTATGTACTACAGAAGTACTGGTTTCACTTCAAACTCACCTATACTGGCTCTAGACAACTGAACTAATCCAGTAAGCATGAGTCAGCAGCTGCATGGATTTTTTTTTTTCCCCCCTCTACAAGCAGCTTGGAAGTATACTGCAAATCAGTAACTATCCTCCTTAACTCCCATATCTAGTTGGAAATCTGAAAACTAATTTTAGCAGGTTTTTAATTACTTCCATGAATTATTTCAAACATAGAACAGCTTAGAGAATGAAACTTCTGTAATGTAAAAGAGGGAGAGCACTGGTACCAAATAAAGAGTCCGTCATGTACTCAGGTACTACATAGGTCGCTTTTGGATTCCCAGAAGGAAATACAAATGTGAAAACAGTCAAAATCATCTATACTTGTTGCTCTCCAAAAACATCTGTGAATACAGGATGCTGAATCCTGCTCACATCTGCTGAAATTTTGATAACGGCCATTAGACTATGGAAAGCAGAGATTACTGAAATGCTTAGTGATGAATTAGAAAAAAGCAGGAAGCAAAAAGATACATCAGGGAAATGACAACATTAAACTGGACAGATTTTCTGCTCTTGAGCACGGCATCAACCAGTGATGCCAAATGGCTGTGGCAGGTAGAGCACATATTACAGATACTTAGAAAATAAAATTAGCACAGTTAGGATCCCTTCCTAAAGATGAAACTCAGGTCTTTATAACCTGAAAAAAAAGTAATGTGGGGTAAAGAATTTGCACTCAGTGTTCATAAGAGAAAAGCAAATAGGCACATAAATAAATCTTGGTTTAGGAATAAAGCAGAAAAATAAGTTATTAAATAGAAAATTCAGGGGTAAGAGGGTTAAGATGTCTAAAACCAAGTTGAGCAGCTAAACTTAGTTTCAGATATCCTATAAAAACATCCCGTATAGTACATCAAAGCCATTCAGTTACTGAACTACACATAATTTACCTTTCAAAAAAGACCAATATAATGTGGAATTCTGAATTACTTAACATACAGCAAATCAAATAGACTTCCAGCAGAAAATGGAATTTTACAGTAAAAAAGAAGACAATACGTACCTTTCATATTGGCCTTCCTGAGATAAGGCCCACATGAGATATTTAATTGCCTGAAGAAAACAAGAGCCAACAAAAAGTAAGAATAAACTTTCGAAAGCATTTTCAACCTTTGCTAAATTAAATTACACCTGGGTAATCTCATTTTGAGATAATGCTAAGATGAAGACATGAAATGTTGTAGCTAAAAGTTCTTTTTGAGGATGTGTAATTAGCCAGGCAGTTAGCAGTTATCCCATCTGTTCCTGAGTAAACTGTAAGTTGTTTTTACACAAATTATACATAATCAAATTTACAAAAACAGTTATAAACTTCACTTATAGCACTCATCAGTTAAGTGACAGAAATGGCACTTAACATCCAAGTAAGTTTTACCACTGAATCAGGACTGGACCTTTGCAAAAATCTATTTAAAAAGAATACAGATTTTTAGGCAAATAGTTTTGAAAACCCGTACTTTATTACTGTATAGAGTTGACATGGTAAGGTTTTGGTAGCAGTGGGGCTGCAGGGGTGGCTTCTTTGAGAAGACCAGGGGCTGACCCCATGTCAGACAGAGCCAGCTCCAGCCAGCTCCACAACAGATCTACCACTGGCCAAAGCTGAGCACATCAGTGACACTGGTGGTGCCTCTGTTGATAATATGTGAAGACAAGGTGAAAAACACTATACAGCAGCTTTGAGAGAAAGCATTGAGAAAAATGAGACAGCAACAACTCTGCAGACACCAAGGTCAGTGATCGAGGGAGAGGAGGTCCTCCAGGTGCCAGAGCAGAGATTGCCCTGCAGCTTGAGAAGGTGACCATGGTGAGGTAGATTTTCCTCCTGCAGCTCATGGAGGACCATGGTGGAGCAGATATCCACCCTGCAGCCTGTGGAGGACCCCAAGCCAGAGCAGGTGGACATGCCCTGAAGGAAGCTGCAACCCACGGAGAGCCCACTCGAGCAACCTCCTGGCAGGAAGTGCAGTTCGTGGAGAGGAGCCCACACAGGAGCAGGTTTTCTGGCAGGAGCTGCGACCCTTGAAGGACTGTACCACATGGAAAGGACTCATCCTGGAGCAGTTCTTAAAGAACTGCAGCCTGTGGGAGGGACTCATTGAGCCAAGGAAGAAGGTGACAGAAATGAGAGGAAGGTGTTTCCAGTTCTGCTTTTGCTTCTCACGATCCTACTCTATTTTTAATTGACAATAAATTAAATTCACCTTCCCCAATTCAAGTCTGTTTTGCTCATGACAGTAAACCGGGGAGTGATCTCCCTGTCCTTATCTTGACCCAAGAGATTTTTCAACTCTTTTCCCTCCTTGTCCAGATTAGGATGGGGAATGAGAGCACAGCGGGCACCTGGTAGCCAGCCAAGGTTAACCCACCACACTAACTTCTTCCCATCTCAAAATAAATAGCGATCCCTTCGAAAAATGTAATAAGTAAATTCAAGGTAAAGGTGATTCACTAAATCAATCACTTACCCTTTTCATGATTACCCCAAAAACCACCAGAACAACTGGTAATAGCAGAGTCTTTGTGTATCTTACTGGAGTCTACAACGGAAATAAACTGCATTAATTGCTTCCTATTCACCTATAATTACTTCGGTAGTCATTTTAAAGAAAATAAAACAGTTCCTCCTCGAGTAAAATCTAAACTTAAGCATTCAACAACAAAGCAAGCTTAAAGAAACTCACATTTAAACTCCACCCAGTAATTGCACTAGAGGTCACAACACTAAGGTCATTAGTCAATTATTCCCAGTTCTTTGGCAAGCTACCCAAAGACTAAAAGTGGATTATACATCATCTGAATTTGACTACTATGGGTTGAGTAACCTATAAATGTTCTAAATGCAGATCCAGATACTGATCAACTACAAAAAGTCTACTATGGCCATATTAAGAAGCTTTGATGATCTTTTGTAGTCTAAATCTACCACGCAAGACCTTTGCAGCTCTCAAAACATTTTCCCCTAGACTCAAAACCAGTTACTGACAGCCACATAAAAACTTAAGTTTGCAGAACTGTAACCTTTCATTTACCCCTGAGCAAGCACATTTTTCATTCAAGCAAGCACATTTCTTAGATCGAAAATCAAAACACTGTTTTGGTTTCACTTCATTTAAAAGCAATAAAACCAGTTAAATTTAGCTTAAGTTCATGAATGTCTCTAACTTCATGAGTAAGCACTTGAATTTAGGATGGCAGTAGGAGGTTGTGGCTCTCAGACGTTTTAAGTTATAAATCAAGATAAAACAAAAAGTTCCCTCTTCCATAATTATCTATTTTGATCAAATTACCTCTTTTTCCATGAAGTCAAACTCTGCAGCACAGGTATACATTAAAGTATCAAAATCCTTGTAGCCAATAAATTTAGATTTTAATATATTGCCTATATGAGCCTGGTAGGATATACAGGAAAAAAAAAAAAAGATATAGTAAGCAAAACCTGTCCTGTTTTCCACAACAAAGTAGTTTAAAAGTATATGAGAAATATTTTTAATCAGAACAGAAGTTTATACCATTTACAATATTGTTATAAGAGCACCAAAAAAACTATTTCTAGTATATTAAATGACATCTGAGTGTCAAACAAATTGGGCTGTGTTAAATAAACAGCAGAAAGCAGCAGAAAAAGGGTGATGCCATTGCAACCACGTTAATCAAGAGTACAGTTTTGCATACTCATATTTTAAAACATAAGCTTCCCATCTTTTGCCCCCCAATGCACATCTGCAGATAGTTTTTTAACAGCAGAAGCTGACAATAAATGGGCTGAAGCGAAGCAAGGAGTCCTAGGTACAACGAGCATTTCAAAACTGTCTGAAAAATTAGCTGCAGAGGAAAGTGAAGTAAGAAACTGAGTAAATTCAGGAAAGATGTAGGTAGAAGATATCCAAAATAAACAAAGATCTATAAATCCACATTTAAAAACAAAGTATTTACTAACTTAATAGTAAAACCATTTGTCTTTTCACAAACTTCAGTAATAACACTTCAAAGCGATAATACATAATGAATGACAAAGCAAATATGCAACCCCTCTCCCATTTCTGCAAAACAAAGGCTGGAATTTCAGGAAAGCATATCAGTAAGATGCCAAGATCAAAATACTACGAATTAAAAAGTTTTTTAAAGACACCAACCAGATACTCAGACAAGAAAACTTACATCATCAGCTATTCCAAACACTAAAGAAGTTAGGTATTTCAAGGTGACTGTCCCAAATAACCAGGCACATCCTTCAATGACCTTAAAAAAATATATTCAGGATGAAATAACATGTGTCAACAAACTTTCAAAGAAATCTTTTCTTTTTCAAAAGGCTTATTAAACTTAGCTACTAGTTACAAGCTCTCCTACGTTATCACCAATAAGTACAGTAATTTCTAACCAATTATACTGCCCAAATTTCATTACACTGAGGTGTTTCAGGTCTCTTTGTGTTTTCTATTACAGCTGAAACAATTTTCAGATTTATATTAGGGCTGTACTGCTGCACATGACACTGGAGCAGAGGAGGTACCCAAGTTAACTTTCAACAGAGCAGCCTAATTGTCAATTCCAGTTGTTTTCCATACACCAGTGTTTAGTGATTATTTCCCACCAGTAGCCTCTCCGGATTATCAGCTTGTACTGCTCCGGTAATCCAAATCTTTGGAGGAATTTGCTGATTTATAGTACCTTCTCCAAATAGTCTCAAGCTAGAACTTAAAGGAAATATAAACTATGTACAATTACTACTTGTAGTTAGATATCGTGCTTATTCCTGTACCACAAAGATTAAATTCTTGGCCATCTAGCTTAATTTATCTAATTCTTTATAAAACCAGACCAACCGAATAGGACAGCCAGGCTCAGTATCGTGTATCTGGAACCAGCAGCAGATGCCTTCAGAGGGAATGTAACAACAAAACACCAACTGGTCTTTACCCTAACGTAACCTGGGTTTTTACACAATGATAAGTTGCATTCAACCATCCCCTTTAACGGCTGCAAATGAACCTAAATACTTAGGAGGAACCTAATCCTTTGCTGAATGCCTCTAATTATTTTTTTTTTTTGCTTCCATAGTATCTTTCTTCTCTTACAAGCTTATTGCTGTTAGCATAAGGGGCAATGAATAAACTATAATTATATTCTACTTCTATTCACTGCCTTTGTCATATTTACCTTAATTTTACAAAATGTAGAATTCTAACCTATTTTAAAATCTCAGCTGTTTAGCAATTCTACATTAATAATTATCTTCATACTCTACTTAAATGCCATGGTAGTACATTTTGGGGAAAGGGATTCTATATTTATTTTTTTTGAGAGACACGTTGACTGAGACTGCATGCAATATTTAGGATGCTACATATGAGTTTACAAAATAAAAATACTGTCTGCTTTCTCTGCAGGCCCTTCTCCATGACTTCCATCACGTATTTTCCTTTTTGATGCCTGCTCAGTCATGAACTGATGTGTTCAGAGAACTTTTCCTAAGAAGATCAAGATTTCTCTGCTAAGTTGCAAGGACTTATTTAGGATCAATTATTTTACATACATACTTAGGAGGGGGGTGGTTTTCTTTTGAATTTAATCCCACCCTTTGTTTCTTACCTTCTAATATTCACACTTTATCACACGGAATCTATTTTCTTTCATAGTTTCAATTAGATATCTTCCCCAAAAGGTTTCTGAAACTCGAGTGCATTATATTACACCTCCCCTCCCCTTACCTACATCCTTCCAAGGAGTCAAACACATTTGCAAGGCAGGAGTTCCCTTCACAAAGGCTGTGTTGGACCTACCTCATTATATTGCATGTACATGCAAGCTTAAGAACTTCATCACTGGTGAAGTTTTTATTCTTTTACAAAAGTTAGACTTATCAGTCTGCAGTTTCACAAATGCTTTGGATCTCCTTTCAAAAACTGACATGAGATTTGCCCACACTCCCATTTCCCCTTGTACCCCAGCTAACTACACTGGCAGGTTTTGCATGCACTGCAGTCTGTTATAAAGAGATTTTTTTAATTCCTTTATAATAACTATGTGAATTATATCCAGTTTTGCTAACAAGCCACCTTTCTTTTCATAAGAATGCCTGTCTTAAGCTAGGCACAGTCTTGGTAGGCTCCCATTCATGTTATGTCTTAAGCAAAAAGTTACTTCTCATGTTTTCTACAGTGTTTTACGTTATTTCTCATCGTTTTGGGAGTGTCCTCCATGTTTGGACGTGACTTCTGCTGCCCTCAAACCCCACTCACAACCTTACAGTGTTTTACCCTGACTTGCTTCTTCTACTTAGTTACGTAATTACAAGTTGCTTGCTGTTGTTATTAAAAAATATCCTCAAAAAAATTATGTAGGACAAATTTTAATGAATAATATCTTAATAATTTCTGCAAGCACTGTTAGCCTTTTACTTGCCTTGTCTAAACTGTCCTTTATTATACAGGGATTTTCATACAGATCTTAGGTTTTTGCAAACTCATTTAAGTCGGTAATTTAAAATGAAATATGTTGTCATTTGAAGGCTGTTTCAATTTTCTGATATAAATGTATATGCTGCTTTTCTTCCTTCAGTAATTTAAGATTAATTTCTGGGAATAAGGGCAATTTACTCAAAGAGAGTAGTTAAGCAATATTTCTTGATTTTCAACTATTAGAAACTAAACCAGAAGTTATTTCTGTATTTCATTAAAACAAACAAAAAAAGAAGTCACAGTTCTCTGAAATTCAAAATACATTAAATTCCTTACCCATAGATAAACTTCTCTTCTGCTGCTTTTCAAGATTTTTGGACTCAATTCAAGAATTCCCTAACAATAAAAAGAATGTACATTTTCAGGTAATATACAGTAACAACAAGATATTGCAGTACCCTGGATGAGGGTTTTTTTTTGTTTTGGTAAGCACCTACTGCACCACACAGCTATCTAATAAAAAAGCCTCTATAATTAATACGACCTGAAATACGAATGAACATATAATATTGTGATTTCACTCTGCACTGGCAAAATATGCCAACATAAAAACTCTTCCTGCAGTTTATATACAACTAATGGAAGACTACTCTTCTCCTTATCAAGATGCTGTATTATACAGTTCTGAGATTCTTTAAATCAAAGCAAATAGGAAGCTGAATTATGTCTGCTTCCACGAATGAAAAGACACATGTGAAGCAATAAATAAATTACTGGCAGCATAATACAAACAATTTTCAAACAAGGCAACAGAATATAGAGGATGAGGGGAGCTACTGGTATTTTTCTGTTTCACATTATGTTTCTCATTTTGTGACAAAAGGAAGATTCACTTTAAGCTTGAACAAAGTAATTAAGCAACACTGAGAATGAACTTAAAAGCTTTTAGAAACCCAGTCCATACATGAGACTAAGACCGAGGCCATTATAAGCACCCAAACAACAGGCAACAATATTTTTTCCAAAGCAGAAAATAAGAAAGAAATTCAATGTATCTGTAATTACTGTATAATTACAAAAGCTCCTAAAAGAAACTAGAGTGGGTTTGTAACAAGCAAACTAACAAGCAAACTATACTACAGCAAATATTAGTACCCGAAGGCAGCTTATCCGTAGCATAAGTGAGAGATTACCACTCTCTTGCTGATGGACAAAATATAAAAATAAATAATAAATTAATTAAAAATAAATTTTATGAGCTCACTCCAAGCTTCTAGGAGAGGCAAAAAGCATCAGAAATGGAAATTATTTGTAGCATGCTAAAGCAGATCTGTTCACACAGCCTATCTCCTATTTCCTGGATACACAATTCCCTTAAAAGAAACTGTATGAAACTGAAAGAGGTTGGCGGTTGTTTTCCCTATTTAAGGAAAAATTAAGATAGTGAAGGATGAGATGATGAGTCTTCAGTGAATAATTTCACTAACATGGCAGTATGACTCAGCAGTTTCAAACAGTCTAAAACCATTGTTACATCTGGTTTAGTTTTTTTTTCCTGCATTTGCAGTTTCACAATCAATAGAACAGCAGTTAAAACAAACTCCTCCTTGCTCGTGGTTCTTGTTTTACAACTATTCTGGTCAAAAACACATACGTGGAAAATCTTGTATTTTTATAAAAATGAGAACTGAGCCTTAACTGAATTTCTCCTATGATGCCATCTTGGTGTAAAAACATGATTTCTTAAATTATTATTTACCCACGCTCCAAATATCTTGAAGGTCTAACTCTGTTTGTCATGTGAAAGATTTCTCAACTCTCTGGTAATGCAGTAGTTTCACCTTTTACATCAACACACACAACATTACAATCTTAGCATGCCATATGATTATTTTTTTTCTTAAATAACTTACCCAGATAACTACTAAAGATGCAGCATAATATGATGTCAATAACATTGAATTACCAAACATCAGAATAAAACACACTACAAGAGATACCTGAAAGAAGAAAATAAAAATAATTAAATTTAAAATAGAAAAGAATTGCCCAAGTGTAGAAACTACCCTGTATCAACAGCTTTAAATTTAAATACAGCTACTTCACAGCAAGTGCAAGCTCGATACTCAGCTGTTCTGAAAACACTGATTATAAGGACTTAATGGCAACAGGTAGCCAAGTGTAGATAATTATGTTAATTTACATTTTAAAAGTACTTATAGACAAACAGACTTGATCATAGGACTAACTCATCTTACACAATACACCAGCTACATTTTTGAAGTTATTCCTAACTTATTTTTTTCAAATTATTGTACTATTTCTCCATCCTGTTTGTTATCTTTCAGAATCCTACACAAATATAAAAATGTTGAACTAAACATTTGCTGTCTTCTTTCTTCCCAACTGAGAAGCATACGTTTAAAATATAATCATCATCAAAATCAAGGAAGCAGAACTGAAAGTCAAGGCTGAAATACAACTTTTATCCACCATCCTGATCTCCTGCTGTGCTTTCTTTTTAATAGAAAGCAAGCTGAATTCCATTTTCTAACTTGGAGAGAAAAATCAATGATTAATCTCTGCCTTCTTCTGCGCACAGGAATAAGGAAAAATAATGTAGTTATTTATAAAATCTGCAGACTTTTGTACTCCCCACCCCTCACGTAGTAAAACTTTCGTTTTCCACAGAAAAGTGAGGCAGAGGAAAAACTGGAAACACCACAAAACACAGACTGGCAGTTTACCCAGCCTCATTAAGCTTTCTCTATAATATAACATGATTGTTTATCTGTCTGAAAATAGGCTTTTTATGACACTTAGGCACAAAAATTATGATATAGCTATTGACATAAGCCAAAAGGCTTAAGTATTTCAACCTGCTTCTGTCAAAAAATTACTAAACCAAAATGATTACTTGCAAATTTTCCTGATTAATCTGGCTGGAAAAAAAAAACATTTGGTGTCCCAGGTTTACATCAGAAATGAGTTGCACAGAACTTATTACTGCCTTTAATTTATCATATACAGTATTTCAAAACATGTTTGTAAACACATGAAATAAAATTTAGCTTAAAACTTCTTTCCTGTGTTAAACATTCTCTTTTTGCCCACTGAGTTTGCATAGCACAATTTTTGCAAAAATGCATTTTTAAAGAGAATCATATTTCTTAAAAAAAGTTGTTTACATATTCCTGTATATTTAAAACTGTAAGCTCGCCTCAAGGAGCAAAACTTCTGGTAGCAAAATTTGATCGTTATCTTAACTTCAAAAATGAAAATCAGATATTATGCAGAAACTTACGTGCTTTTTATTTATCATCTCCTTTCTTTATTGACTTTCTTAACCATTTTTGAAAAAAATAGTTTTTCCTCAGACTAGTATTTTATTTTCTTTGTCCTACTTGCTAACTGTCTCCCCATATAGTTCAACCACGACATCTTTGCATGGTCAAGACTACGGTAATCTTCAAAACCCAGTTTTACTTGGGGTTTAGTCTTCTTCAGTGATAAAGACTTACTAACAGTAAGTTTTCACTTACTAACATCTCTTTTTTTTGTTTCTACTAACCTATGGCATGAGATACATGCTGCCTTTTCAACTTTTTATTGCTCAAGCTCTATTATAGAATTATAGAATGGTTAGAGCTGGAAAGGACCTCAAAGATCCTCTAGTTCCAACCCCCCTGCCATGGGCAGGGACACCCTCCACTACACCAGGTTGCCCAAAGCCTCATCCAACCTGGCCTTGAACACTTACAGGGATGGGGCATCTACAACTTTCCTGGGCAACCCGTTCCAGTGGTATGTCTGTTGTTTGAGACAGTATCTTTCATTCCATGGAATAAGTAGAGACAGAAAGGAGAGGCAATTATTTCTACAAATCTTTTAGGTTGATCACTTTTCCAGAGTTCAGAAACTCCTGTGCACCAGAGGGATGATAATTTCTGACACTGTGATATAAATATACCTAAGAGCAAATGTTCAAATCCAGGCCCCTCCATCCCTTATTATTCCATCTTTTCAGTCACCTTGCAACTAAGGAAAACGTTTCATACAAATGGCCTCTCTTGATGCTCTGATCTGTTTGAGAGGATTTAAGTTTTTTAAAAAAAGTATTACCATATGAGCAGAGAGTATCTTCTGTAATTTGCAGGAGTCAATATAACCCATAATACACACAGCAAATAATGAAGCTATCTAGAATCAAAAGTGAAAGATGAGTCAAAACAATTTGAAGTGGTGTACTCTTTCTAGCAAAACACATTCATACAAAAAAGTGATTATTCAAACAATCATAAAGTAACTTATATTGCTACTTTTTTGCTAAGTAAATACTTAGGCATTGCATAAAGGTTTCTTTCAAACAACCTATTGTGGTGCTCTGAATAACAATTACCAAACATTCAAACACTGAAGAAATAAGTACTCAGCTTTACAAAAATGCAAGTCATCAAAATACAACACTAACACATCACCTTTCACCCTTAGATTTTTAAAACAAAACCACCATTCATTAACATTATTTAACCTTCACTTTTCACCAAAGTATGGGAACATCTATAACTTGCTGCTGAGGAAAACGAGATTCATTGACTAGGCAGCTTGCTAAAAGTCACATGGGAAATTAATGAAATTATGAATTGAACCTGTAATTTCACATTTCAGGCCCAGCATCTTAAACGGGTTATAGTGATGAGCTTCTGACAATATTTTATAGAATTTCATGGCTTCCTCTTCTGCAGTTAGAAAATTTGCATAGCACAGCGTATATTGATTGTTCAAAACTACCAACTCAAACCAAGCAACATCTGCTTCGAGTAGGACAGACGGGTGAAAAGGTATGGAGACATAGATGGATTTCAATCAACAGGCTACATTTCAATCAATTTAAACACTAAGAAAATATGCTTTATGACAACATCCTATTGCTCACATTAGCATTGACCATATTTCAACACTAGCTAAAGTTATCCCAATTCTCAGACAGTAATATTACACCACTACTTATAGGATCATCAAAATTAAATAGGAAACCATGCAAAATCATGCCAGATATTACATGCCATGCAAACACTGCTCCATTTAAAAATGTGGAATAGCCTAAAGATGCAAAAATCAATGCCTGTTTTATTTTTGTACTTCAGTATACAAAGTCTTTTCTTATTCTGCGCTTGTTCTAATGCCATGATCTTAGGCTGGAGGCTGCTTTTAAGAGAAAAGTTAAATTCTTTAGTCCTGGAAACAGAACACTGAGTAGCGTAAATGGCCAACTTTTAATTTTAAGACTAGAAAAATAGCGATGTGCTAAAGGGTGTGAATCTTTCCTGCCAGCAAGAGTGCAATCTGGCTAAAAGGAGAGGATTGGCATAGTTGTGAATCCAGTGGCTGTCCATACAAAGCAGCAATTCACCTGGATAAGACAAAGAGGCTATTTAGAGGTGAGTATGGTCTTACCTGCGTTAGAAGAACAAACTGAGCAAACTGCCAGGGAAGCATGAAAAAGATATTAGAAACACACAGTGCAATCAAGCTTCCTGTATTAATATTCGGAATCCTTGGGAAAAAGAGACAGAATATGCATCAGTAAGTAAAATTACACAGGTGTTTGCATATTATTGAAAAGTACAATAGAGAATGCAATAAAACAGTTACCTTGCAATTTAGCTAGCAATGTTGATCAACTACAAATAACACCACTCAAGTACATTTAATATCCATTTTCCACCAGTTTCCAAAAACAATAGTTCTGATGCTTAATGTTTCTTGTTTAATGCTTGATGTTTCTTAACTATATGATGAGTAACTCATTACCAAACAAGTCTTCTCCTGGCAGCACGCAGTATAGTAGGACAACCTACATCATTTGCAGTGGTCCACTTTCTTCTAACAACTCTACAGTCAGGTCACAACCATTTCCATCTCAGCTGGGATCACAACTATTCTCAGAACAGTCTGCATTTAAAAGTGATTTCTCACTCCTCTCTCACGTTGCTTCCATATTCTTTCTGCTAGCAACCCTGAGTGAGGTTTCAGGGCAGGAGACAATGACAAACACATTAAACTCATCTTTAACTAAAACCAGCCCGTTCTCTATGTCCTGCTATAAGTGTTATTTATTTAATCCTGCGTTAGGTTCAAGTTCACTTCAGAAACATGTCATGTTTCGAATTTCACTAAGTGGCTTCCAACAGATGAAGACACCATAAATATTCTGCTGTAAAACCCAAACGCAACAGATTACAACAGTCTCACCAAATTCAGTAAAATTTTCCTTCAGCTTCTTTTACAGAGCCTCAAGATTAACTTCTGTTGGAAGTCATGCTGCGCACGAGTCTAATGTATTCAGTAATACATTAGACAAATGTGATACAAATAATGGAGAATTTAAGTTCGAGTCTCCGTTTCAAAGACAGTTCCTGTGCTTCATTGGAATACTGCTATACACAAAACAGAGCTGCTCTTGAAGCAGGAATTGTAAGTGAGAAACAGAAAGTTAAAATGTTTTATCCCTTTTTTGGAAGCTTGCTCTGAAATGCTTAGATTAAATATCTACTTCTCATTGGTAGGCAAGCCCAAGTACTACCTCATGTACCCAGATCTGACGAGGAGGAGTAAATCTATCTAATCAAGAAGTGTCATAATTATAGGTATAGAATATATGTGCTTTGATCACCCTAACTTAAAGTGTAATTTCCTCGTTTTTTGTTTGACCTCACAATTTAGCGTTAAATGAACAGGTGTTCTTCTAATAAGAAATCTAGCAATGAGTCTACCAACTATTCCTCAAAATATTTTTCTGGATGGCACGTATCTTTTCCTCACCTGAAAACAACAAGCTAGTGGTAAGCACAAAAAATTTTTGGTTTAATCAATAACTACAAATCAGTATGACCTAATAAAGGAAAATCTGGGGTTGCAAGTATGAAGTTCAGCTAAATAATAAATACACTGCAAATCTGATGGAATGGAGTTGATGGAAAAGCCCTCAAGTATTAACTATAACGCTTATTTTTCAAAACATAGGCAAGACAGTAACATAACCATGTTGCAAGCCAGAAACAACCACTGAAAAGCAGGGCTAATAAACTCAAGAGCATCCCTGCATTAATGTAATTAGATTGCTCTAAATCACTGAACTAGTTAATTAGTCATAGAAAAATGCAAGAACATACTAACTTATGGGTGCTTATAGCACCCTCTGTTGCATAGCATAGGGTTATTCTAAGCACAACCAACATACCACTCTCCAAGAGGGACAAAACCAATTGATGGACTATCAGCTTTCTCATGGGAAGGAAGTGACATCGACCAAAAATTCTGATTTTTTTAGTTTAGATACGTATTTGCAAACACAGTAATTCTGATTTTTATTTCAACCATGTCTTCAAGTTGCAAAGTTTTTCCTTTTTAATAAGTAATATGACTGCAGTTCTACTGGTGCAGCGTCTGCAATGTAACAGCCACAGGAAAGTTTCTATGTTAATGATATCATTGCTACAGCACACAGAGGCACTTCAATAAATATTTAATTAAATGCATTTAAATAAAAGTCCTGTGACATTCCATTTTTTTAAAATCACTGCAAAAAGCTAGGTATAAATTGAGAGGTACCTGAGAATATAGGTCAAAAGCAACATCTGAAGCACAAGGAATGGGTATGAGAAACTTTCACGAAGAGGAGGAGTCCACATGACACGAGTGCACTAAAAATAAGAACTGGGTTAGATGATAACATTTGCTGCTTCATTTCCATCAAGCAATGCATTTGTATTTCAAAGTGAATGACTACAGATACTTCAACAAAACAAAACCCAAGCTACATGAGATATTACTCACAAACTTAAAAAAAAATAAAAACCAACAAGCCAGGAAGCAGAAAAGAGGAGGAAAAGGAAGCGGCTTCCACACTTGAGGTCTATGATGCACTGTTTAATCAAAACACATCACTGCTTTTCCAAAATTAAATGTGACAGCTAGAGAGCATCCAAGGAAAAGCCAGGACAGCAGCTGCTTGTCCCTGCTTCTGCTGAAATTAACAACTCATTCAGGTAACTAAAACCATTCTCAAATTCAGACAGTGCCACACTTAGAGGGAGAAAGGATCTGAAGGATAAATCAACATACTCTTCGTTATGCTAGAGTTTTCTAGGTTACAAACATTTCACATTTCTACTACCAACAGCAGAGAAAGTACAAAATCTGAAGCTGCCCTCCGAAACAGGCCAGTCAAATTGAACACATGAAAAAAAGCTTTTACAGAGTTCATACTAACTTCCATACTTTGCTCTTCAACCCTAATAAAGCAAAGCATAAAGCAATGAAGTCCACTGAACAGCTTTTTCATTAATTTCTTGGGGTTCATGGCAAATGGCTCAGCTGTAACTGTCATCCCCGATGTTTATATTCAGCTCTTTACAAAGTGCTTGCAGATGGCACTGAACATCACCAAAATAATTACAACTTTACTTTGACATACAAATAAATGGGTTCAAAAATAGATTCGCACTAAAATTAGAAGTAGGTTCTTTACAGGACTAAAACGTAGTTTGTCTTAACACAGACCATAATGAATCTAGGAAAGCTTATAAGATGTTGACACCAGGGTGTTCAATCTCCTTCAATTCTTATTATGTTGAAACCACTTTTTAAAATACTGTTTTACCAAAGAAGTCACTAGAATCAACATTTTACAACTCCTTGCTTATTGCCTTGCTGTTTCACAAGTATGTTAATAGTGTAAAATAAATGTGCAGAAATAGTGTATAATAAGTGTACAGAAGCCCATCACATCAATCACACACAGTCCTCCCTGTCTAAAAGCATTCTCTGTAAAAGCTGCACCCTGATTATCATTAAAATAAACCTTTCATAAACATATATATACACTAATGTGCTGTCTTCAGCTGACTGCACAGATGTGATTAGTTAAAATTGGGTTTTTTTAGCAATAAATATAATCATGATTATTCTAATCAGTGTAGTCTTTCTGATTATTTTTCAAGACTACGGCAACATTTGATTTTTGATGCTGGAGGAGATAAAGACAGGAAAGAAATGATGAGCATACACGACCATAAAAAGGAAGCGTTACCTTAAAAGTGGATTGACTAATGTAGTCCATGCTCTTTTTCTATATTTGGAATGTAATACTGAACTCAAGCATCTGTGGATGATTTATCAAGGCTGTAAACTAACTTTGCTGCAGGTATAGATACATCAGATCTGCCTAAGCCTGAATCATTAAAACACAGTAGCACAAGCACAGCCCAAATGAAAACATGCTGCCTTAGGATCATCAGCTCAACACCAGAAGGCTAAAAGCCACTTTTACACAGCATTAGATCTGAGACACCAAGACTTGCAGACCAGGCTTACTCACGTAGCTCAGTCCTATCCTCCCAGAAAAGAAAGGCGAATTTTTAGCAACTGGCCTAGCTCCACTGTACATACTGTTGAAGCACGTGCAAGATGATTTCCACAGAATCAAAGGCATATCAAAAAGTTAAATAAAATAGGTTTATGAACAAGCACGCACACCCCTTGTATATGATCCAAGTACACAGAGTGAAGCTAGACCACCTACATACATAAACTCATAGAATGGTTTGGGTTGGAAGGGACCTCAAAGATCATCTAGTTCGAACCCCCCTGCCACGGGCAGGGACACCCTCCACTACACCAGGTTGCTCAAAGCCTCATCCAGCCTGGCCTTGAACACTTCCAGGGATGGCGCATCTACAACTTCTCTGAGCAACCTGTTCCAGTGCCTCACCACCCTCAAAGTGAAAAATTTCTTCCTCATATCTAATCTAAATCTGCTCTCTTTCAGTTTAAATCCGTTGCCCCTTGTCCTGTCACTACACGCCCTTGTAAAAAAATCCCTCTCCAGCTTTCCTGTATAACTCTATATCCACAACAACATTAAACAACTCTGAGTTATTTCATTAGGTACAGAACAAACACAAAGAGCCAGCTGTGATCTAACACTGCACCTCTCCAACTAAGTCCTACTGCTCTCCAGAAATCCATATAGCTGAGCCTGCATCAGGGTCACCCTACTTAAGCTCTACCTAAGCCCAGACTACGTCTGTGTAGAACTATGCAGATCTAATTTCATGCCATTCTTCAAAATACTCCCATTATCTCTGTTTTTCCCCCAAGTCATCATCCACAGAGAGATGACCCCCCCTATAGAGTCTCCTATGGACAGCAGAACTGCCTGTGCTGTAGTGAAATAAATACTTCTTTTCATTATTGCTTTGAAATTTTATATCTTTGAAATTTTCAACTTGTTCCTTTCTAAAGTTACACTTTATCACCTTTGCAGACTTGGCAAAACAGTACATACTCTATCAGTATTTCCTAGCAAAGGATAAAACATTCACTTCACTTCAGAATGTCACTAAGAAGAATGGAAACCCACACAAAACTTTTAATTACCCTCTTACAGCACCAAAAAAAGTTCAGAAACTCTGTAATGTTTACCTGGTCTGGACCAGGCAGTTAATATCCATGGGTGAAAATTCTTCATGGAGGATATTTAGAGAAAAACATTCAAATGAAACTCAAAAATAAAACAGCTATTTTGTCACGTGGGTTTTTGTTTTATAAGAAAACTTTCAAAGCTCACTAGGAATAGAAGGATCTTTGATTCTGTCATGTGCAACTACGTATTCTCACTACTCAGAATTTTCTATCAAGTTCAGCTCAGTAAAATAAGAAACTACATATTCTTACTACTCAGAGTGGCCCATCTCAGGGGATGCACAGAATACCCACATGGCCCATATGTGCTTTTAGGATTTACAGAACCTGTGGGCTTTGGCCATGATATCGTCTGTTACCATTCACTTTTGCAGATTTCTACAGGTGAGCCCTCGTGCAAACGTGCTTACTGCATGTTTCTGAGGGGAGTTGATAGGATTTTTTTGAAACTTTCTTTTGTAACTCTTTTCAAAAGTCTTTCCTTACCCAAAGAGTATGGAAACACACCTTTGTAAGGCCAGGTAATGTCTTATTCCCTTTAAATTCATCCCCTAATAGCAACATCACTATCTTTAATGAAATGAGAATTAGCTTAAACTATAAAACAAACAAACAAAAAAGGGTGGAGGGTGAGGAGGGAGACCTACCTCTCCATGGTTGAAAAAGAAACACATCACAGTAACAAGGCCTCCTAAACGGCTCCCACTGTGAAAAGAACACAAAAAATAGGTACAGCAGAATCTCATAATGGTCAATGCTGCCTAAAAAAGTTCAACAGCACTTATGTACAGCTAAGTTTATGGGAGGTGAAGTGGAACGCTTTCAAGCATCAAGGGAAAGCAATCTACAGTGTACATACAATATTAAAAAACAAAGTTAGTTAGCTAATGTTTATTTCACAGCAGACCACTCTTCATGTATCAGCTCTTTTCTGCAGAACACCAATTTTAACATAAGTAACTTCGAAAACAGTTATTCCACTCCTCACAAACTTTGGTTTAGATCATTACATCAGGCGCATCATCCGCTGTGCCCAGAGCTTAGTCTTGAAAAGTGCCCAATTTATTTATTTTTTTTTAAACACCAAGCAATATAAATGGAGCATTTCTTCCCTAAGATGCTTAGCAGAAAACTTAAGAATTTGCATGCTCACTCGCTCAGCAGAGAATTTTGGTCTGAATCTAAGACTACGTTAGGGTAGTCAAATCAAGCACATTCAGAAGACACAATTAGAAATGAATTTGTGACATGGTCAATGCAAGATACAATTTAATTGTTTTCTGAAATACAGTGATGTTAACATGAGAAAGTTTTTTCAGCTCTTGACTTAAGGATTTTTATATGTTTCTAAACCAATCAAATTCACCTGTTGAATAATTAGCATCACACAGTCATCACTAAAACCAAAGATATTACTTTGATTTATGCCATTTCAAAACAGCAATAGATAAGGTTCCTATTTGTTTGACTAGATTTACTATTACTCGAGTCCTGTGATATAAAGCAAAGAACATTTTTGTGCACACTGTACTACTGTAAGTGACAGAATTTTTGCTACTAAACAGAAATATCGGCCAGCTGTTAAGATTCTTTAAAAAAAAAAAAATCACACAAACCTCAAATCCTCTCAGATCCTTCACCCATCACTAATATACAAGTCAAACAGACTCAGTGGGTACAAAACCTGAGGATTAAAGATAGCAACTGAGTGCTAATACAGTCTCCAGGAATTGTGCATTCTCGCATGTAAAACTCAACCTTTCATTCCAAAATTCTGAAAGCATTAACCCTAAAACCCAAAACAACTACAAGCGTGCGCTTAAGAGTGAAAAATGTTAGTTTTAGAAACAAAAAAAATTTAAAATTTGCAAAAAAAAACCAGTCAAAATCAGAAACAAAATTCAAGGTCTATGCTAAAGGTTAACGCTGTGATAAAACTTTGAAGTCTAGAATGCAAAGTCTTCATTGTATTACGAATGCTTTGGAGCTATCGGCCTCTATAAGGGATCACTATTTCACCACATGAGAAAAGGCCAGTAAATCTGTAGCACAGAACAGAGGAATGCACCTTGTCAGTATCTTTTCCAGAAAAGGAAGTGAACACAGCCAGAGAGGGTTATGTATACTGTTGAGTTAGACTGGTTATCTCCTAACAGTGGGACACCATCACGTAGGAGATACAGGAGGTAAGCCTTTCTATGCCAATGTAAAAGATAACTCTTTCCATTGAAACTCCCATCCCACACTACAACTGGTGAAGTACATGCCCTTCAGTTGGAACCCACTTCCTCCACGTTTAATAAAGAATAATCTAAATTTAATAAATAATTAGTAATTTTTAAAGAACCGCAGACGACCTAACAGTGACACTTTGTCTGGTAGAGTCAGCTCTGGAATATCAGAAGAACTAGTCTTTTGACTCCCAAAGTACAACAAGCTGAAGCTTAAAGTCATCTGTGGAAATGCTGTAATTCATTGTTGATTAACATGCAAGAAACGAAATACCGAAAAAGTGCTGTCAGAAGGAGATATGGGAAATTTACTGGTGGTTCCTCAAGATGCAGTATCTGACAACCAGCTGAAGTATCCTGTCCCTTCACTTACAGGAATAGAGAGGCAAGGAAAGTTGGGGGAGGCAGAATCTTACAACTGCATAAAGTATTTCTCATCCAAATGCCCTTCCATTAAAAAAAAAACACGCTAAAAAACAGCATGAGTTCTTACCGTATCGCTTCAGTTGTCTTAACAGAGAATGCTCCTGAGCTTGAGACTAACTTGCATCATGTAAGAAGATTCCCAAGTGTATTTGCATAACCAAAGACCACACACAGAGTGCTGGGGCAAGGACACACTACGGCCAGCCATCTTCTAACCTTGTGGGGAAACTGCTTAAGGGAGCTAAACAGCAAAAACTAGTTCTACAACAAAAATCAGTCCTACAAAGCCAACTAGCTTTCTGCTACCTTAACTCTTCCAACAAGCTTATTACAGAGTACAGTGAGCACAGATATGAGAACACATGCTAGCTTGGAAAATAATAAGTAGTTTTCCACTATCCTATCCACCTACCATCACTAGGCAAAGTTGCAAAGAGACTAAAAGCAAATAAAGGCTGAAATAAAAAGCTTGCATGTTCCATGAACATATAGGGAGACAAAAAAAAAACACTAGAAAAAAAACAATTACGTAAGCTTGAGATGATTACTGCTAACAAATTCAGGAATGAAAAGACAAACGTTCCATGAACATATAGGGAGACAAAAAAAAACTAGAAAAAAACAATTATTTAAGCTTGAGATGATTACTGCTAACAAATCCAGGAATGAAAAGACAGAAAGTATCAGAGGATCGTTTCCCACCATCAAATGAGTCAGGCTATGAAAAAGGCTTTCAAAATGCATAGCAGAAACGAATCAACTTTATGAAGGAGACTTATGCCAATACAATTTACTTCAGTGTAGTAGAATTGCACTACTCCAGATTCAGTTCTTCTATTTTTCACACCTTATGGAAAAGCCTAAATATTCTGACTTGCTTTGACTAAGAGGAATCTTGCAACAGCCATGATGACTAAACAGTCATCTAGACCTGGTATCCAACTATGAATATTCCTCAGAATAAATAAATAAGATCAAAATCCTACCAGCAGGAAACGTCATAGTCACTTAATATTTTTTGTAACCCAGATAGCTAGTGGCTTACAACTTGAAAGATGTGCATTTATATTCTAGTCATCTCGACTACCTCATTGTAGATCATTTACGTTAAAAACTGAATTACCATCAACACTGGATAGTTACTTACATTCAACACAGCCTAAGTCTAAGCAAAGTACTGAAAAATTACGACCTTATTGTTTTTTCAATGATTTAACATGTAAAATGTGGGTTTCCATACACCTCCCTTAAGAGAAAAATGACAAGTTAACGATACGAATATTCAAAGTTTATCTACTTCCTCAAAACCTGAGACATTGACTTCCTATGTTAAGGAATACAAACATAGACTCTTTACCCTGAACATCTAATTGTTCACAAGGCAACTTCCCCTTTTCACTGTCGGCTCCTGCCCTGCACTATTCTTTATTTGAACTATCAGCATACGCTTCAGAGAGAACAGGAAAAAAAACCACAAGACAGTGAAGCCAGGGAATGAGAGGGAAAACCAATCACATCCCTGAGGAAAATGTAGCAGCCTTTTGCTTTTTGCAAAACTCACAAATGAAAATAGAGGTAAATAGAAAAATATTTCCACTTCTGTTTTTCTGCTGAACGTGACGTCTATTTTTGTATGAAAGTGTATTACAGTTCCTGAAATTTAAGGACAGATACTGAAAACAGAAATTCATAGAAAAAGGGAAGTGTATACATATTTCTAAAAGAATCCATTATTTTAAAAGATATTTTGCCTTCTTAGTTAAGTTAAAATCAGAAGACATGTAATATGACTCGAGGCAAAGCATTGGGAAAACTCCAGTCTTGCTTAAAAGTATACTGTCATTCAAACATTGTTTAAAAATGAGTTACACTGAAATTTTAAGAGCAGAAATCTGTCAGAAACATTTAAAACCTGTACAGCACTTAGTTTTATCCACAACCCAGCTGTATCAATGAGATACCACTTCACTGAAATTTTTCACAATTTTCCTGCGTCATCATTTATTTAGCAAAAAGCTTCTCTGTTCCAGTAATTTTTTAGTGACAACACATACGTAATAAAAAGCACTACTACTGTACAAACGAATAAGCAATATCCCACAAAAAATATTTTAGCATTCACTTTTTCAAATTTCTTAGAAAACCCGACAGCTAGTACCAACTAGCTCAGTCTCAGCCGCCTTACCTGAGGTATGTACCGTATATGAAGAACAGTGACATCATTAATCCATTCAAAAGAAAAATCACAGCAACATAAAAGGAAGCAGGGTCTCCCAACCCTAACAAACAAACAGTTAACACGTGTTGTCAAATACAGCAGAAAGATCATATTGCTTATAAACCACCACGCAATCAGTATCATACAGCACACAGCATACTACCTTAATATATCTACAGAAAGAGAGAACAAAAAAAAAGTCAATGTCACCAAGACTATTGTGGAGATTCAATTGGAAGACTACACTTCTGAAAAAAAATAAAGGAAAAAAAAATAAATGAGGGGTGGACACAGCATTGGGGCAGTCGGCAACAGAACAACCCTAGAGGGAAGCAGTAACTGTAAAGAAAAAAAACCTGCAATGCACAGAAGCAATAAGCATCACTAAGAACATTCTCTACAGACGACGTTTTGACTTCATAGAGCTTTTTAGAACAGGTTTGTACTCCCTATACTCTCACTTCCCATCCCCTGCAAGAGTAAATCCATCTTTACACATATCACACATAATGCTCTTTGCTTTCTTTGTTTCATTAGAAGCCACGAGATTTTCCAATAATGCAAGTCTTTCAATTTATTCATTCCCAAACACTTCTGTGTTCACACTTCTGTCGTTATTTGCTTTCCCATTAGTTCTTTAAACCCTCCTGGCTCTAATCATTTCAGCAGTACAGCATAAAAAGCCTTATTCATTATAGAGAAGGTAGCAAAACTTCATCATTTTGTATGTAGAAAGGATTATTCACCACTGCTGAAAATACTGCAAGACAATTCTCCAAAGAAAGATGATGACATGCTCATCAGACACGGTAGTCTCAATTGTTAGTGTTTTTGTTGGTTTGGTTTTTACAAAAAACAAGAATGAAAAGTTATACATTTACTCAGTCTATTGCTTCTGCCAAAATTTGAGAAAGTCAGTCATTCAGACTCTGAAGAAAGTTCTTAGAGATTTTGCGCAAAGGAAAAATACTAACTTGTCACCACACAAAGACATCTTAAAACTAAAAAGAGGCAGCATCCAAGCTTTGGTAGCAAAATCAAAGTGTAAGATAGAAATTGTTATGTTGAATAGTAGGTCACAAGAGGAAGAGGATTCTTCCCAGCAGCATCACTACACAAAATTTCTCCAAAAGGGTGCCTTGCGGTTACCTTTTTCCTCTTTTTCCCTGCTCAAGTGGTAGTTAGAGGAAGAAGTACAGAAGGTTTTTGAAACGTAGGAACTTGGAATGTATCGGGGATTCTACAGAAGCTACAAAATTTAATACATGTACAGTGGCCTCCAATTACATTTAGGACATCTTATGCTTTGTGACAGTCCAACATTATGAAGGCTCAGCGTACAACTGTGAAGGTCTGACGCACAGTATGGGAATTCAACCTAGGTAGGAGAAGGTAGGATCCTAGGTAGGATAAGCAAAGCCTGCATTCTCACCCCTGGTGTTCTTAAAAGTATCTTTTTTTCACGCTCCTCACTTACGTGTGAACCTGCCAAAAACACAGGCCTAGCCAAAAGAAAGCATGTCAGTGACACAGACACAGAAACATTTATTACTTCCGAAATACGAAAAGTCACAATTAGAGGCTTCCAGGAAGAAACTGGAAAAAACACAACTCACCCTCGCAGCTTTCAACAGGACTAAGCCCTTTTCCTCTGTTTACAGTCCAACAGATCTTTGTTGGCACACCAAGGAAATCCATACTGGCAGTATATATGCGGTACCAGCCGGCAAGGACCACCTAGGTGGAAAACAGGATTTGAAGCTTCTGAAAAGGAACTCCGAGATTAGCTCAACGCCCAAAGTAACCTCTCATGACAACTGGCCCTCATCCAGGATTTTTTTTCACCTTAGAATTTATCTCAACTACTTAGCATTTTTGACTATAATTTCCTAAAGGCATCCAACATAGGCCAAGTGTTCATTAATTGACTAAAATTACGTCTGCTTCAGAACAAAAATAACTTCGTACATCAAACTGCAATATTTGAAAAAACTATGTACTTCAATACCGTCTGGAAGGTTTCCCATTCAACTATTTTTGTTTAACAGATTAAAATCCCAGACTTTGTTGACAGACGACAATTAGCCAAATTAAATCCATTAAAATATTTTTTTTTCCCACCTGGCAAAAACATTAATGGACCAAATCTTTAGGGTTTTCACTCAGATAAACTTTGATAGGTTAAATTTAAGCACGCGTTAGAAAAGGACTGCAGATGCGACGTAAGACAGCGTTTCCATTTTCCATGCAAAGGTCATGCTGTTCTTATAACAACAACCAAATTAAATCTTAACACCCGACACAAAAAAAGGTCAGTATTTTAGACACAGCAAAACGACAACGCAGCTCACAGCAAAGTCACTAGTTATCATTACCAAGCTATTTTGTCAGGATATAACTGACTTTATGGACTTCATAAATGAGTAATGTGGCCATTCCAGTCGAGCTGCTTTGAAAGTTATAAGCCAGGGGTTCCCAGACTGAAAATATGTTTCACCACTGCAGTATTAGCTGTCTCAGCCCTGTGTCACACAAAACATGTACAAGAAGGATGATTCTCTCTTTTCCTTCCCCATGCAATTAATAAAACTCTTTGTCACTTCTATCTTCAAGAAGGGCAAGAAGGAAACACAAGGAATTACACCTTGATCTCTGAGAATGTAATGGAGTAAATCCTCCTGAAAACCTCTTCCGAACATACTAAGGAGAAAAAAGTGAGTGGGAGCAGTCAGCATGGATTGACAAATGGGAAATCCCACCTGCCCAACTCCATAACCTTCTGAGATGACTGACTCAGTGGATGAGGGGACAGCTGTGAAGGTTGTGGGGTTTTTTTTAACTAGTGCCAATTCTGTTCTACATCTTTATTAAGACTAAATGATGGCACAAGAAAACACCCTCAGCAAGTCTGCATATAACACAAAATTGGAAGCAGTGGTTGATGCTTGTGTTGCCACTTGTGGAGACCTCAATAGGCTGGAGAAATGGGCCAGCAGGAATCTCATAAAAGGGAAATGCAAAGTCCTGCCCTGGAGAGGAACACCACCATGCACCAGTACAGACTGGAGCTGACCAGCCAGAAAGCAATTTTGCAGAAAAGGACCTGTCAGTCCGGGTGGACAAGTTGTACTTGAGTGAGTGATAAGCCCTTGTTGCAAGGAAAGCCAAATGTATCCTTGGCTGTATGTCACCAGGACAAGAGAGGGGATCCTTCTCCTCAACTCAGCACTGCTGAGACCATACCTCCAGTGCTGAGTCCACCTCTGAGCTGCCCAAAACAAGAAGGACACAGAGTAATGGTTGAGACAGACTCTTTTCAGTTGACAAGACAAGAGACAATGACTACAAATTGAAATACAGGAAATTCCACTTAAACATAGGAAAAAACTTTTACTCTGAGGGTGGTCAAACACTGGAACAGGTTGCTCAGAGGTAGAGATATTCAAAATGAAACTGTAGATGGCCCTGAGCAACCTGCTCTACTTTGAGCAGAGCACTGAGACTACATGATCTTCAGACATCCCTTACAACCTTAACTGTTCTGCAATTCTATAATTCATTAAATTTTAACACCAGGGCTCTGATCCATCACGGCTCACCTCATCTTTGGCCTTTACACTCTCGCAATGCAAACCTTCATATATCTAAAATACAACTACACATTCCTAGACCAAGACTCCCTGCCTCATTATTCTGTCCTGCAGAGTACGCTATCCCGAATTCCTGGAGGCTTTCTGAACATCTGAGCCCTGGCACTTCTGACTGTGCACATGTGCATAGAGGAACCAGATATTTGCCCCATCTCCAGATAGGCAACAACAGGACCGGAGAACCAAATCCAAATCTTTCCTCCTTTCACCTGAGGATGGTTTGTACGCTGCCAACAGAATGGATATGGCAGCTCAGGGACATCTGTCTAGTGTATCTGCATCACCAGCCCTGAAGCTGACCTTACACTTGGCACATAAAACATTCTTGCTGAACTGATCCTGCACAAAAAAAAAAGTTTTCTTGATTTATCAACTGAATCTTTTTATTTCACAAGTACTTGTGTCGGCTGCAGATGTTACTCCATATGAATACTCCCTAAAAAGGTACCAGGTTAGGTACTTCATGCAAAATACAGAAACGTTTTTTACCAAAAGCTGCTTTACATGAAACAGGTAACACGGGCACAAAAAGGGAAGCAAACCAGTAGTACAAAATTGCTAGGTCAATTAGAGCACAATGGCTTTTTTTTTTTTTAATTTCTACGGTCCCATATCAGATGAGGCAGTAAATGCAAAACTGGGAAAACAAAAGACTGGCTCTCAGACTCAGGAGATCTCTGTGGGCCAGGCCAGTCCATGGCTGTGAAAGAACACGTACCAAAGTCAAGCCCTTTTACTCGCTGCCTTCGAGTAAGCACCCTACCGCCAACTACACAACTCTCACCACTCCAAACTCACATTTTCATCATCACTGCCACACACAGAAATATCAACTGTTCCGTAACGACGGACAGTCGGAGAGTAAACTTAACACATTATCTCTCCGCCACAGAAATTAGCACATTAGCTCTCTGCCATTTTGCATCGGGGATCACAGATGAAAACACCACCACAACTACTGGAACATGACTATGCAGCAAATACCTGGAAAAATCAAGACTTTATTGGGACTATAATATTGTACAATTATGAAGACTGACTTGTTGCATTTGATAGATTTTTTTTTTTTTTTTTTTACTGCTTATATTTATAATTTACCCAGACAATGTAGTGATTGCTATGGACTGACTTTACCTTTTTTTTTTTTTCCCCTTCTGTTGAAGTTTTCATGGCTAGTACGAGCTGCACATGCAGGTGAATCGTTCTACTTCACTTAATGAGTTCAACATCCTGTTTAGTAACCTCATTTCAAGGCTATTTTTGATGCAGTTAATTTTGAAATCCATTAAAGAAACAAAAAATTTATTAAAATCCAGCCTTAACACTACAGATCCGCTGAAAGAGCTGGAAAAGATCCTAAAATATCAAACAGGAAATGAAACACTTTCAGAAAATGAGACTGGATACTGAGTATCAGAACAAAAAAAATCCACTGCCAACAAATAAATTCACAAGCATCTTCCTACCATCCAGCCCCATTATAATCTTAAGTAAAATTAGATAAATCTGGAGAACATACTTCAAATGTCAATTTGCATTTATTGACAGTTTTATAGATGTAGTTACGTGGAAACAAGAGTACTCAAGAAATACACTTTAAAAAAAGCTATTTACAGGAAGGCTAGGCATCAAGCAGTAAATGATTGAAAGGAACAGAGAAGACTATTTGTCTGCTTTGCATGCCCCCGCAGGCACAGAAAAGATGAATGAATTCCTACCTTATCACCAAGTTCTATAAGCCAGTAGGATCCTAGAAAACTCTGAATGAACAGAATATCCTCCACATTTTGCACTGTAGTCTGCCTAATGTTCTCACAGAATGTCGGCCACTATATCTGACTGCTCGTGTTTTGATTTCCTCATCCAATTTACTTAGTCATCTTTCATGGAGATACAGATGACTCTCTAAGAGCAAGTTCATTTGACCAGTTACTTTTGACTTCTGCAAGTCACGCTACAGCTGTCAACAAATCTTTCCCAGCTAAAGAAAATAACTTTAGGAACACGTGCCTTATTTGAATACTATAATGCTGTATTTCTAGAACTGAACTGCAATCCCTTTGGAATTAAAGAAACAAAACAAAACCACCAAAAAGACACTAAAAAAAAAAATCCAAACCCAAAACCAGTGAGAGGGGAACAAAACCCACTCATCTATAGTGTTTAGTTCTTTCAGAGCAAAGAATTATGCAGCAAATGAAACCACTAAACTCAAGTTATATGAATATGCATGCTGAGAACTCTTACACATACAGTTTCTGAAAGCAGCTCCGCTCCGACAGAGCACGAGTATAGTATAAATACTACTACCCAACAATTACAGCCATTATTAGTTCTTGGGTCTCCACAAAATGAGCTGTTGCTGACACATGGAGTTACAGTAACATACATTAACCAAAAGTTTTCCCTTTGCAAAATGTTTGAGACACACTGGCCAAGCCATAAGAGAGAGAAAACCAAACATTTCTGTACTTAAAGACACGTTATTTTTAGTGGCAAAAAAGCTGAGCAGGAACAGAATCTAACAAGTCTAACACCAAGTACATACAAAACAGCAGCAGCCAGTCTTCTACAGACAAATTTCTTCTGCAACACGTAAGTAAATTATTACCATTCATGGATTTTAGGGCCACAGTGAACTGTGATGACTCATTAGCACACTGTCCTACACAAAATGCAAGCCAAAACAACCTCTCAGTACCTGTAACACTGTTGTCACATACTACTGACACTTCATATGTTGTATTTCCTAAAGTACACCGTCAGCAACTTACTCACTTTCAGTGAAAAGAACAAAAGACAAGTAGTATCAAACTGGATTGTAACTTCAGAGCATAAAATACCAAGATCTAGAGAGTATTCACATTTGGTTGGAAATATTTCAAGTCTGAAAATCGATCACAATGTATGAGGTAACTTTCTCATTTTAAATCTGGAACTAAAACAAGGTATTTAAGCAAAATTTCAATAGTCACTGTAGCTTTACAACCACATTTTCCAGAGTAACATCTCTTACAAGTTTGTAGTCAAATCTAAAGAAATCAAAGATATATCAGAAGGTATCATTTTTAAAACATAGCTCACCTCTGGGTAAAGATTGAACCTTTGTAAGGTGTTAATCACTAACGGATATTCGGTTAGTCTGTCATTCATAATTGCCCATACTCCATTCCAAAACGATGGTGCCTCAATAATGATCTTGAAGTAGGAGTAATAAAGACCCTACAGGAGAGCAGAACCATTATTTACAATTAAAGGGGTCACTTCTGCTTCATGAACTGACATACACAAGCTTCATTTTTAAATGAAATTTTATAATATAACAGATAGGACAAAACAGTTAGAGATGACTATCCAGTTTTTCAAATCTCTTCTATTAGTGCCACTAAGACAAGCAACGCTGGTTTCCTTCCACCGTGTTTCAAAGGACATCTGGAAATCTCTCAATTGGGCTGGTAACTACGCACTAGCATATTATTTCACAACTCTCAAAATAAAAGCAGCCAAAAGATGTATACATATGCAAACATTTACTAATTAAAAAAAATTTAAAAAAAAAGCTGCACAACAAGATTATAATTGAAAGTATGCTACAAGGTTCTTGTAATTTCGTATTTTAGGTCCTCTAGAATTATTACAAGAACCACATAGCATACTTTCAATTATAATCTTGTTGTGCAGCTTTTTTTTTAAATTTTTTTTAATTAGTAAATGTTTGCATATGTATTATTTATTTTTAAATTATATTTTAAGTGAACTGTGAAGCGATACAGTCATAGTGATCAGCTGCAAGACATACAAATACTCTGTATGTAAAAGTGTAATGCATGTTAGTTGCAAGATATCAATATGTTTACTTATCCAGAAGGTGTTAAGAAATTTTGGAAAGCCTACAATCAACAAGATTAAAACTTCCCCATCACTGAATTTTTATTGAAATAGAATCTAACCATTTCCGTGCGAAAAGCCATTTCTCTTTCTAGCGTTGAGAGGTGAGAAAAATGACGGTCATTTTCAAAAAGAGTTGTTATGTGACACCTGTTAAAAAACAGTAATAATTAAAACTGAATAAAGAGTTTCAGAACCTGTACGAGGTCATATATACCAAGCAACAGCTGGCAAAACATTCAGTGAAGACCCAAAGTTTATTTACAAACTGCTATTTTAATTTATTCATACAATTTACCAACATTCTCCTCTATTCAGACTATTTTAAATGGAAAAAATATGAATCCATAAAGTATTTATTAAATTGTACTATGGAATTAGTTATAATACTCTAATGCATTTTAACTTAAGTGCAGACACTTAAGGATCAAAAGTTTAATGCTCTTAAAACTATCAAGAATACATCTTAGGAAAGAAAATTCAAATATCTGACAAACGACAAGTATCAGATTAAAAACTGGTGAAAATAACGGTGCACATGTAAGTAGTGTATGTTTTTTCCACAAAAATCTTTCCTGATTTGTATTTTAACGCAGTTATCTGCTTTACATATAGATGCATTACCATCAAAAGTATCTTTAAATAAAGGTGCAACTACAAGGTGGGGGGGGAAGGCCAGGGAAAATGCAAATAATTTTGGAGGCAAAACTTGCAATTTCCAAGACAAGCTTCATCTCTAGAAAGGACGGAAAAAGAAGCAGAGCAGCGCGCTCTGCTTTTGAACAGGCATTTGCATGAAACAAACTAGTAAAAATGAATAGTTCTTTTTGAGCTAGGAAACAAAAACAGAGTGGCAGAAGCCCTTACTTTTTATCTCTGCAAAAGCAGCTGGTGGAAATCGCTACAGAAGCCATTCTATTTCAAGCCTATACTATAAAAAGGAAGGGTGAGGGTTAGGATGGAACCTGAAACACAAGGATTACATCAACAAAGAGTAGTTGAAGGGCCATTCTGCTGCACACAGAGAAAACACTGGCCAGGCTTCTCTGAAGAGGTTAGAGAAAAGGTGATGGAAAACTAAGAAATTAAAGCAGAATCTAAATAAGCAGAACACAGGAGTACGATGAAAGGATTTACCTGGACTTTAAAAACCCACTGAGGGTAAAAAGGTCTGTTAGTGGAAATGCACCTGAGTTTGCACAGCTAAGCAACAGTTTTCTACCTGGAAAGCAGGCTTCACTCTTCGCTGAACAGGCTTAAGAAACCTTTCGTGTCAGCTTCACAAGAATAGAATTATTCACCCTAGAGACAACAATTTGGTTTCGAGAGGAAAGATCTGTTTATAAATCATCCTAATAGCTTGTCTAAGTATGAGTGAAAATGATATTTTTATTATTTTAAAATAGTATCATATTACTCTCAAGCAATAAATTTAACCTTACCAATGTAGGACTCCTGCAAAAGCGGCTGTAAAGGAAACAAAAGGCGTCAAGTTACTCAAATATCACGTTCTTTAAAGTAATTACAGTACTACTTCAGAGATGCACAGAAGGTACTCCAGAGGAACAGAAGAATAGGAACATCTGAATTAACTTTTATGGTCAGCTCTTTGAAAATCTGAAATTCTGCTGGTGGCATTCAGCAATAGGCAATGTTCCACCTATATCCTGTGTCACTCAAGGTGATCCATCAGAATCGAATGCATCCATTTCAGCTACCAATAACAAAACTGAATTACAGGTGCTTTTTTAATAAGCATAAATGTTTTTTAACGTTTTACAATACCTATTGTAACTATTCACTAAATTTCTGCTCAGATTTTGGCTAACACACAGCTCATACTAAGGCTTGATGTATGCCAGGAGCAGCGTTGTTAGGTCAAAGCAAGGGCAAAACCAAGGCAGGACCTGGTGGCCAGAAAGGGCTGAAGGTCCTGATGCAGCTGTTGTCACCTGCAGCTTGCTGTCTCCTGCAGCCATAAATCCTCACATACTGATCGTCTGGCAGTTTCTCCAGACTCTGCTAATCAAGGAAATGGTACAGACCAAACTTCCACGCTGGAAGCTACAAATACATCAGCTTACCCAAAAAGTTTTTAAAGCTGATCCAGCAGCAGCTGGACTGCTGAGGCTTTCACGTTTTCCAGTGTGATACAGGGAACATCCGTACCCTGACAGAAGGAGAAGGATGAGCACTCCCACCATGGGTTAGGTAATTATGTTGCTCATAGGTGCACAAGTTAAGAGTTGCAAACTAGAGAACCTGTGGGTTAGATGAACTAATTCCCATGTTACACTAGTCTGTACGAAGCGGACTGAGCCCTTGTTTGTCATGTTTGCTTTCTTTCCCAATGAGCTCATAAAATGAAGTTTAATTTAAAGAGTACATTGTTCTGTAAATTTGAGAGATCCAAACGGACCGTGACAACCAAAACAAATCTAATTGAGACTATAATTGCTAAAAAAGGTAGATTCTTAACATAATAACATTCCATTTGTCTATTTGGAGACTGTCTGCACTGTTGTCACATAGGTACAGAACAAGGGAGGTAACCTGAGGGACAAAGGAAAAAGATAAACGATGATAAAGTCACAGGGAAACAGTCTAAGTCTCTGACTTCTTGAGCACAACAAGGTCCACAGAGAGCAGAAGCCCCTCCATTTTGCTTGGGCAGCATTCACAACATATCCAGAGGTCGCCATGGAACCAAAGCCTGCACAAGTGAGGGATAAAAGGTGGGCATTTAGAGTGACCTCAGTGCTCCTTCTAGACTGAAGGTGCTGTGGTTGCCCTTTGGGCACACACAGTGGCTCTCTGCCATAGAAAGGTCTGCTCGACTGGTTGCCTTCAAGCCAAGAAAGTCGTTACGGTTAATGATGAGCCCTCTTATTCACATGGGCTACATAGAGCAGAGAGGAGGACAGCACAACCACCCTCCCCGCTTACACCCAGCTGGAGCCAAAAAGGTGCTGAGCGCCGTGTCCCTCTCCAGGGGGCTGATCTGCGCACACCTCCGATAGCTCACAGCCACCCAGGCATGGCCTGCACCTCCATGAAGACATGGAACAGGTCACCTGCTTGCACACAGGTGAAACATCCATCGAGCAAACACGCACGTGTTCAGACTGCGTGTCACATGCGTATGGTGCTCTGTTTCTGGAAAGCAGCAGGGACAAGAGAAAGAAAAACACCTTTGGAAAACCACTACATTTACATGGAAAGAGAAGTGGACTGAATGCACACTTCAGGCCTTAGTATATATTCCCAAACCACATGTTCCTCCAACACAGAGCCTGGAAGCGCTGCTGCTGGCAGTACCTGTTATCACCGTCACCAACAACTTCACATAGTAGTTGAGGTTGTACAATACCACACTGAAACTTCCTGAAGAGTTTTTCAGGTCCACTTCAGTCACTGAAGTAGTTTTCTCAAAGAGAAGCCTGAACTTCAGTTAGAAAACGAGTACCACAAGCTTTCATTTAAAATTTGACATTTTTACAGGTACTTTCTAGAAAAAAAAATTCACCGAAGGATTGCTCAGTACTGTCCACATTAAGTGGAATTTAATGCCTTAGGAAAGTTTCAGAAGCTAAAGATTTTTTTTTAAGGATATTTACATTCATTCTCATGGAGAGCTGAAAACTCCTTTTTCAGAAAAGCAGATATGGATATGCTCACTCGGAATTCCGTATCATATTAGCTGTATCAGCAACACAACGAACTATATTCCACAAACAAACACATTTTGTAGTAATTGTATGGAAAGAAACAGAGCAGTCCATACCTTTCTTAGGTACTACTTATCAAGCCTCCCATTTGCACAAGGTATTATTTCATTTCTCAGTAACATTTCTAAGATTCCCGATAAGATGGGATGCTGAAATACACTTATCTATATACACGTACTCCAGCTATAAAAAAATATCAATTTTAAGACAGATTACATGTTAGGTAAGTATATACAGTAAAGTCAAAATAACTGCACATGAGCTATTAGCACTGTTCATGATCTCAAATTCATGTGGTTCCAAATCACCCAAATATATAGTCTTTTATTGTTGCAAATAAATTACCTATTAGTATGGAAATTACATTTCAGATTCAAACATACCACTTCTTTCATAGAGAAAACAATACATTTATATCTGATTCTTCCCTTTAACAAACATTTTATTTGAAGTTGATGCATTAATTGTAAATAGATTCACAGTTACGTTGGAGAATTTCATGTCCATTTTTATAAAACTTCACAATATCACTCTGTTTTAAGCGTAAAATGAAAACCTTTTATAATCACACAGCAATTAGTGTAATTACTCTGCAAGAGACAATGCACTTAATTCATAGACATACACTACGAGTCCAAATCGACATTTTCCCACAGACTGCATCCAGACTTACATTTCTGATGGAAAACATGCAGACCAGCTCTCCTAAATTACCTTCCTTTGATCTCATTAACGCCCTTACTGGCGAAGGAAGGCACGAGAGGACAGGAGAGGAATACTAGTGCCCTAATGCTACAAGGACTTATACAGCTACTATGTACTTGAACTTGTAGATGCCATTTTCTCACCCAAGCTAAGAATCCTTGAAAGCAAAGCATGTGATCCGATTTTTGCAGACTAGGGCTATTATGTAAAATCTGATAGTTTATTCTTTAGATTTCCTATTTTTGCTTGTGCTCTGTTCTAGGAAAAGCAATGTGAATGGCATATAAAAAGCATCCTAATTCTGGAAATTAAATACTGAAGAATAAAACCATTATATAGAGAACTCATTTACCAAGAGAACAACAAACGCGGAGATACTGTAATGCAACAGGATGTGAAACTTACTAGAAACTGATTGATAATTTCTAAGTATTCCCAAAGGGACTAGGTAGGATTACAGCAGAACTGGGAACAGCGAGGAATGTGCAAGCATTGACTACTTCTGCAGCTTAGTCAAGATGTTTCATCGTGAGACTCTGCACAATCTAGAAAGGATGTCTTCAAGAATAAGGCCTCAGTTCAATGGTGGTTTTAAAAAAATCTCAACATAATAAAAGCAAAGTGTTGTATAAGAACGTCCTTGAAATTCTGACAACTTTATTCTTGCAAGCAAACTGGAGCTGGTTCTTAGAAAAAAAATCCCACCCTATAACAAAACTAGCTCCAACTGTGGGAGCCTCTGTTTTTAAAACCTGGACCTTAAAGCTTAAGCAAAACAACAACAAAAATTCAAATACCATTAAAACTAACCAAAACTCAATATTTCATATTTACTGTATGTACATTCTTTGCTACTGCAAATACTGCATGCTATTATGTATTTTGCTATTAAGGGTTTGCTCCTATTAAAAATATAAATAGCTCCTTGAATTATTTAATTGGTTCTCTGGGTTTCACAGCCAAATTCAAATTCCAGAAATTACAAAGCTCTCTACCTAATCTGCTACCAAATTCAAACAAAGGAAAGCATTTTTCAATTTTGACCATCAGTTTAACAATCCTATGTCATTTAAGTAACTATTAGTCTAGGAAATGCTGAAAAAACAGAGGGAAGCAAAGCATTTCGGGAACAGTTTATTCATCAATTAGTTTGTAAGCTAAGGGTTGTGTCCCTGCTACTACTTTGCCATGTAATTCATCAAACTGAAGAAACTCCCTTTGGCAACAAGGAGTACTGGTGGTGTGAT